GCTCTTTAGTTAGACTCACACATCTCTAAGAACCTGAAATTCTAGTGTCCTTTTGAGAAGTCATGCACATTTTGTGTGGGATTTCAGGGCACCCTTGACAGATCCTTCTAGAGAATGGCCAGTGAACTCAGCGCAGTTGGCCCTCCGGAGAGTGGGATGTGGCGCCTAAGCTATTTGGATATTTGGATACCCTGGTCACTGGCCTTCCAAATCTACTCTCCCCAAGGCTGTCTGCCAGGTTGGGAGGATTGGGAGATAGCAAGAGCTACTGCGGGGCTAAGAATGCCTCTTCTAGGCACAGAGAGAGTGAAAAAAAAAAAAACTGTCCTAGATGCTGATGCTAGGGCCGAGATAAATGCCAGTCTGCAAAGGTGACAGGAAGGAGGTTCCGCCCAAGTGTCAGTTCAGTGCCAAAGTGTCCTCAACACTTGGGGCCCTTGGAGAGGGCAGAAAACCTCTGGTGTGCAGGAACACAAGTCTAGGGTTGGTGGCTCTGCAGCTGAGGAAGTCAAATTAAACTTCTGCTCTGGGGAGCAGACAACTCTCATCAGAAACCAGAGCCCTGGTCGTTAGCAAGGAACCAAAATGCTGGGGATCTCATTTCTAAAGTGCCAGTATTTCACGCGGGTAGCTGGGTGGGGTAGGGTGGCTGTAGAAAGCAGGACCTAGCCATCCCTGTTCCAAGGACGCTGTCCAGCACCCCCCCCGTTTTTGTCTCCTATTCCAGAAGCTAAACCAAAGCTGGGGGGACTCAGGATAAAAAGTCCTCAGTCTGGGTGCTCAGCACCTATGCTCAGAGCTCAGACTGAATTCCCCAGAACTAGCCAGGCTGCCACAAGACCGGGACCAGGGCCCTTCAAGTGTGTGTGACTTATGGTTGCCCAGGGCTGGTCCTCTGCCGGTGATCTTTGGCTTCTCAGTAGAACCCTGGCCTCCTCTCTGTTTCCCCCACTTCCACATCCAACTGGAACCACATCATCGATGCAAACAGAAGACCTGAAAAACTGCCTCTGCAGAGGTTTCTAGAAACGGAACAGGATGAACCAGCAAAAAGCAAACACCGGTCCTCTCAGAATCCCCTCCTGCAGCGTCCTCTCCAGCCCTAGGCCTTCGCTCCTGGCTAGAGAGACCGATTGCAGACACTGGGGATTCCAGGGAAACTGGGGCTGGGAGTCTGGGACACACTGCTTGTTCCCGGACCCGGCAGGAGAAGGATGCCTCGTTGATAGCGCTGTGCCTGCTCAGATAACCGCTCTGGTGTTTGGCTGCGGATGAATTAAGTGCCTGGGGATTCCATCCTCATGGAATCATAGGCCCTCACCCTAAAGTCTTCACCTGAAGGGAGGTGGACATTCCAAATCAAAGCCATTCTTTGACATTACACCACAGAGTCACACCAAAATTACAATACTGCCCTCTGAGGAATGAAAGCCGCCAATTCCAAACACACCCACGATTTCTCTGCATCCGGGACTGCAGGTAGGGACACCTGAATTAGGAACGAAAGCTACTTTGGTTGGCTGATGTTCGGGTTCCATCCTCCCACATGAATACGGGCCAGTGATTTAATCATTCGGTGACAAGTCTGCTTTGTACCAAGGGGTTGGAATTTATTAATTTCCAAAGGGTTGGAAATTAATCGAATGCACTTTACAGCGTTAACGGTGAGAGAGACTAAGGTCACTCCATGAGGTGCTTTCCCTCCCGGAGTGCCAGGGTCCCGCCCCGCCCCCTCCCAAGCTCACACACGCGCCCCTTGCACGCCAGCGATTTCTATCGTGGTTATTATGTAGGCTTTGAACGCCCACATCTGCAACATATATTTCTTGATTACACGCATCTTGATTATAAAACAAGCAAGTGCATTTTACATCCGGAACTGTCTCGTGAGTGAAACTCCTAAATCCAAATTGGAAGAGACGTCCACAGATGGAGCACACACAGAAGGACACGCAAACACACACATGGCTTTCTTTCTAACACCTGCGGCTCCTGACTTCAGAGTAGCAGACACCCCGGAGCTCCTTGTAGGTACAAACGTCCAGGGCTACATCTAGAAGAGTCCAGTCCACCAGTGAGGGGGGGCAAATATTACACCCCCCTCCCCGCCATAGCCATTTTCTTGACCCGCAGCCAAGAGACCAAATTTAGAAACCAGCGAGGCAGAAAGAGTGCTGATGGGAAGGTTACTAGCGTTTGTAGAGCCCCAAGTCTCTTGGCTTAAGAGAAAGGTCAGAACTAGGGTTTTCCTTGAATGGAATTTTTCGAAAGGCCTACACATATTTCGGGAACTTTCACCCATGTATGAAAGAGTGGGTCTCGGGACAGTTCGGGTCCAGAGACAGACTCCGTGCAAGCCTACGCGCTCTCCCATTTGCAAACACCCCTCGCAACTTCAGGACAACCTAGACACCGGAGTTGGGAGGGGGGACTGCAAGGTCGCGACCCCTGCCTGTGCCCAAGCACGCCCTTCGGCCCCTGCAATTAGCGCGGGGAGGTCAGGAAGAACTCGGACGCCTCTACCGGCAGCTCAAAGACCAGCAAAGGTGACCCCGGCCCCTCCCGTCGGGTCTCAGACGCCAGCGCAGCCTGGAGTCGATCTTCCCCATAGGCGGGCGGGCGCCCGGAGGGCTCTGGCCGGTACCCGCATTCAACACCGCACACCCACCGAACGGCATGCTTGGCCCTGCAGGCTGCAATAGCTGACCACTGCCGGAGGCCAAGAGGGCCTGGTGGTTCAGAAGCTCTGGCCTTCCTTTGTCCCTGCAGACAAGGCCAGAAGAAGAAGAAGAAAAAAAAGAATCCCCCCCCTAAAAAAAACAATAGGAATTTATATAGTACAAAAGGAAACGTCTCCGCAAAGAGAAGTTGGTTCGAGTTGTGTCTATGTGGGTTGAGTTCGGGGTGGGGAGCGTCTTTCAATCCAGGTTACCCACTTGTATATCTCTACTTTTCTACCCAGAGATTAAGGAACCACGGTTTCCTCATTGAATTTCCAAAAGTCCCTTGGAAATCTCATCTGAGGCCCAAACAGGGATGAAAGGATTGGCCCTTCTTCCGATAGGGGTGAAGAGGTGAGGCGGGTGTGGGGCGGGGTGTCCGTGAGGAGTATAGGACAGATTAAGGGTGGTTCTATGAGAAGGAGCGCTAGGTGAGGCCCTAAAGTTCCAGACTTTCAAAGGCTCTGGAGTACCCAGTTAGCCACTGTTAGGCAGGGCGCAGTCGTGGGTCAGACAGATAGGTGGCACTCGAAGCTTGGGAGAGTGAAAGAGAGAGCGAGAAAGCTGGGGGGAAAAAAAAAAGACCCAGGCGCCGGCCCCTAGTGGCCTCGGCAGCCGCCGCCACCACCACCATAAAGCCCGCGGCGAGATTGCGACCGGCGCCAGGTGAGTAATAGGCACAGAAATCCAGAGAGATTGCGAGCGGGTCACCCCCGGTCCATCAGCGCCACAAGAGTTATACATTAACAGCACTATATATAAATAAGATACAGAGGAGATTATAAAGAAGACGAAGGAAAAGAAAAAAGAAGGGAGGGAGGGAGGAAGCCCTAGGAGGGGCCCGGGACAGGTTTGGACACTATCCCCAAATTTGGGGAGGGGGATGGAGACGGGAAGACAAGAGGAAATCTGACTGTGAAAGCCAAGCAAATTTGGTTTGGTTTGGTTTGGTTTCTGCTTTCTCCACATTTGAAACCGAGCTATTTTATCCCCAATTTGGAAGCTCGCGCAGCGGGAAGCCATGAGCCAATTGCCACCTTCTCTGGGAGGACAGCGAGAGTTTTGGTCCGGCGGGAGGAAGGACCGGCCTCTCTGGTCCCCCCTGGTCCCCCTAAGCGCTCTCCAGTCCCGTCTCTCTGGTTGTTTTCTCCTCCTCCCTAGACTGCTGGGGGAGGCAGTGAGGGTTCCCCACGTGCCTGGGCTCGAAAAGGGGGGTTCGCCCACCCCTCCAAAGGTCTAGAGCTAGATCCTCTACCAAACCAAGGAGGAGGGAAGGGAGGGGCCCCTCTCGTGACCCGCCGTTCAAGAGGCCTGAAGGTGACAGGGACGAAAGGCCCGGCTGGCGGGCTCCGGAATGGGGGTTGGGGGTAGTCAGCCGCCAGGCAGGCTCCGGCTGGGTCTTTAAGTCAAGGCCCCCAGGGCAAGAAAGTCTTCAGGGCTAACTCTAGAGAACATTCCCTTGCCCGCCCCCAGGGGAACCTGGACAGTGACTCCACCATTTTTTTTTTCTTTTTCTTTCTTTCCTCTTTTTTTTTTTTTTTTTGTATTGAAAGATTCAAAGATAAATTGAACTTCAAAAAGATAGCTTGCCTAACTGCCTCAGGACGGGCTAAGGGAAGAGTAGGGGCTGGGGATGCCAGCTTCCAGGGTGACTTTTGCCTAGCAGGTTGGTTCCATGTGGGCTCCTGAATTACCTTCCCCATCATGACCAAGCTAAGTGTGCACACTGCGGGGTGGTGGGAGCACCCTTCTTGGCCTTATGCCAATCCTAAATGTCCGTGGGCAAGGGACACAGTCTAACCTTTTCCCCGTGCTAGATTCACGGGTGTAGGGAGAGTTTATTTTGTGTTCCATGTCAAAAAGGGGAAGGATGAATTAAAATCTTGAACCCTTTCTAGCTGTAGCGCTCCCAGCTTATTTCTGGTCGGATTCCTGTGGGGGGAAAGGCGACTTTGAACACAGGGTAAATCTTCCCTTATTAAAACTGAAGTATATGGAGTTCCTATTTACGAAATTTAATCAGGTCCCTTTCCTCTCTGGCTCCCTAAATTAAAGGGGAAGTAGTTTCAGATCGATGTGGCCCCCTTCGCAGGAGCAAGGAACTTTTTGTTTTCAGCTTTGTAATTTGAGTGACATCTCATTTTGGTTTGCTGGGGGTGGGGGTGGTCTTAATTACTATTTAAAGACGAAAGGAAAGCGCAGGCAGGAAGATCATTCCCTTCTAATTTTCCAACTTCGAGAGAGACGGTCTAGAAGAAATTATTAACATGACTTCAAAACTCATTTCAATAAAAATTTATTGAAATTTCACTGATGTTTTTAAGGAGGAGAATTACAGAAAACTCATCAAGTACTAAACACAAAATATGCCTTCATAGATTTTTTTAAAAAGATTTTTGTTATTTTGTTTTGCCTTTCATGGTTGTTTGAATGAGTCCCTCTCTGTACACCAGTCCAAAACACCATCAAATGAACAATGGCAAGAAATCCTCACTTGGGTTGAAGATACCAGAGGACAAAGAATTAGGAAGGTTACTTACGGCAGCCTCTGCTCCCCTGACAATCCCAATCCCTCCCAGGATGTCAGAGCTCAGGGAATTTCGAATGGAGCCTGAAAGGGCCAATACCTCCCCAATTTTGATGAAAATAGGAACTAGTATTCCCAACCTCCCCACCCCACCCCACCCCGCACCAGCTCTTGGACAATTAAAATTGCAGCCAGCTCTATTTGAAAGCATTAGATGGAGGTACAGAAGCCTATGCTCGTTAGTGTGAATTAGCCATCTCCTGACCTGGAAATAAAACCCAAAAGGCAAAACAAGAATAAAACCTGACAGACACACTTCTATTTACATCCAGCTATGTACAATTCAATAAATTAAAGTTTAACTTTCTGAGCGGTCATATTCCACCTATTTACAAGAGATATCAAATAATTACATAAATACTTTGTCCAATAGTCGTGTTTCCTCTTTATTATTTCTTTTAAAACCTTGTTATTGCATATACAGTTGAGAGAACTAATGATCAGATGGGCGCACGAAGCCCTCTACAGCGCTTAGATAAAACAGATAAAATAAACTCAGTGGATTCCAACCCCATTGCTTCCCTTTACCCCACCCCACCCCACCCCACCCCTACTTCCTCGGGGTTGCCGGTTTGAGCAGGGTTGAGGATGGCAGGGGTTTTGTTGTTTTTCTGTAAAAGCCAAAAAAACATCAAAAAATAAAACCCAGAAAACTGTAACATGCAAAACCAAACAAACAAACAAACAGAAAAGGACCGGTATCCCTCCTTTAAAACCTCAGGATATTAAAAAGACACAGGATTCCTTTAACATAGACCAGGCAAGGCCTTCTCCCTTCCCTAGTAAAGCAATTTAAGTCTTCATAGACAGTTCCACGGGACTTAATCTGTCCCCGTTTGGGGTTTGTTTGTTAGTTTGTTTAGGGAAAAAATTATTTTTGTTTCCACTTGACACACGAAGGGGAAAGAGATTTGGGTGTAGTCTCTCAAACAGGGCAGGCCGGCCTTGGCTACCTCGTTCTTCAGCCCCAACTTTCACACCAGCCTCCACTGAAGTCGCTCTAGACACAAAAGCCAGTTTCCCCCGCCCCCACCCCCGCGTCTCAAAGCAACAGCAGCCTGCTTCCACAGTGCAAGACAAGGCCTGTGGTCTCTAGCGCATTCTCTGGAGGGAGCCTGGTGCTCCTTCCCAGACAAAATTGAAGGATGGGGAATCACCCCAGTGGAAGGTCTGTGGTTTATTTTACATCCAACAAAGTGCACTGGCAGATTTGACCGAACTGGAATGGAGAGACCTTTGGGGGAGCGGTTTTCGTTTTTTTTTTTTTTTTTTTTTGTTTTGTTTTTAAGGGGACCCACTGCAGGACCTGTCCGGCTTGGCTTCCAAGCCACTGACCAGCCGCTGGATGCTCTGCAGTTCACTGGTAGCCGCCTCTTTCTCTGAGCAGAGTTTGGGTGACAAGGACACTGAGCTGGAGGACAGCGTGGAGCTGCGACTGTTCAGTTCCGAACCCGAGTCCACGGCCATCGAGGCCGGGCTGGCCGCCAGGGCGGCTGCCTTGCCGTCTAGGGGCCCCGCGGCGGAAGCCATGGATGGCAACGCAGAGGCCAGCAAGCTGCTGCTGTCAGGCACTGGAACCGGGATGGAATACGGACTGTAACGTAGCCTGGGGCGCATGCTGTTCAAGTTGAGGAACGGGTGGCGGTGCACGGAGCTGGAGGCGGCCGCCGAGGAAGCCGCGGCTGCAGCAGCCATATATGTGTAGGGATAAGGGAACAGGCTCCCAAAAGGCGACATAGCCAAGCCCTGGGGAAGGAACAGAAGAAACACATGGAGTCAGAGGATGGGGGACCCCTCTTTTCCACCTCCTGCTATCTAGGGCAAAACACCTCTCTTGGAGGAGTTGGAGGGACAAGACTTTACCCTAGGCCTCGGATCCCTTGCATGCTAAACCAAGGGGTTAACATGCTGGGAACTTCCTGGCTATTAAATCATCCACAATGTGTCCTCCATGGTGCCTGACCCTCAGGGCTATTAGCAAGTTCCCATGAGGGCAAACAACCGCACCTGTTGAGTGGGCTCAAGGAGGGCCTCCGTCAAAGGGGCTAGATTAAACTTCGGCGCACACTTTATCATGATATTTTTACATGTCCTTCTAGATCTTTCCCAAGTAAGGAAAAATAAGGATGATGTGAAATGAGGGGGGATGAAAAGGTGTTAATTATTAATATAAAGACTGCAAGCACCCAGTTTCTAAGGCTTGGGTCTCAGGTGGGAGGCTGCAGAACCCAAACAGAAGCAGAATTTGCATGCAGGGTGTGTCCTTCACTTGAAGATGCCTCCAGACTAGTCTATTCAGGGTGACCTCCTCCACCTGTCACCTGCCTTTCTGGGGGAGACCAGCCACGAGGGAGGAAGGTTGGAGGTAAGTTAGAAACTAGCCGGTTTCTCAGCTTCCTCCTCCCCATGGGGGAGGACTATGTGCCTTTTGGCTCTGGCAAGGGAGCCGAATGTGCTCAGACAAAACAAAAGGTCAGAGTAGGCGGAAAAACCCCAGAGAGGCTTCCCACCGGGTTCAGAACCTTCTCCCCAGCCTCTCAGTGCCGGGCACAGCTGTCTGAACCACACACACACGCAGGCTGCCACAGTCAGCCCCCCCTCCTTTGACATTTCCCACGTGTGCACAACCTATTAACCCTTTGGAGATAGGCAGGCCTGTTTGGGGTGGGGGTGGGGGAAGAAAAGCTTTCAACTCGGTGGAAAGCTGGCCGCCTCCAGAACAAATTCTCACCCAGGGAATCAGTCACTTCCCCTCCCCACACCTCAGCCCCTTCCTGGGGGAGTAGTGGCTGGGAGCCTCCAGAGAAATATGTTGTCTGAAAGATGAAATCAAAGAGGCCCTGTGGGTCAGACGGGCTCAACTCCACCAGGGAAGCAGCTGTGTGACCTGAGCCGAGGGATTCAACATCTCTGGGCCAGAGATGATACATCAAATGATTCAAACTTGTCACAATGTTAAGGAGTGTGGAACTTGTCCATGCATAGGAAGTAATTTAAGGGCCCTTGAAAGGGAGGGGTAGTCACGACGGCTCACTGAGATAGGTGCTCAGTGAGATAGATCAATAATCTAATAGTTACTACCATGCATTACTGTCTAACTAACGGTCCTAGGCAAGGGACTGGGATTGAGAGAGAGACTGGAGCGAGCCGGGGATGGGCGGGCAAGCAGGAGTAATACCTGGGAGGCCAGAACGTGTTGTTGAAGGTGGAAGGGCAGGGTGGCAGCCGACGCCCCGGACAGTCCCTGCGCTGCAGCAGCCGAGGCCATGGCTGTGGAATCCAGGCCTGAGACGCCGGTGGATGCCCCGGATACTGTGGCCAGCAGAGGCCCCATGCCTGCAGCCATGCTGGAGAAGGCGCTGCCCATGGCGAACTGGCCGGGGTGCAAGAAGAGAGGGTGCCCGTTGAAGAACTGCTGACCGGCTAGGCCTGGGGCGAAGCCCAAGCCTGGAAGGGGCCCCTGCGCCAGGTGCGCGGCCGCGTCCGTCTGCACTGACAGTGGCGCGAAGGCGTCCTTGGCGGGCAGCGAGCGAACCTCATCCACCTTAGCGGCACCTGGACCCTCGCGTCCCGGGCTCTTGCGCTCCTCGGCTCCCGGGATGCGAGTGCTGGATGAGATGGTGGCCGGGCTGTGGCGCGAATCTGGCGATGCCTTGTCCAGGCGCGCGGTGTCTCGGACTCGGCCGGATTCCGCGGGGAACAGCTGAGCCCTGGTGGCCGGGCTGCCCTTGTCTCGGCCTGGCTCCTCCGCGGTGGTGGTGGAAATCTTCGCGGCGTCACAGGCCTCAGGGCCGTGCTCCTCCTTGCTCTCGGCCTCGGCGTCACTTTCGGCTTCACTGGGACACAGATCTTCGGGAGGAGAGGAAAATGCCAGGGGAACCCGCTGTCAATAGTGTTTCTTAGTTTAAACCCCACCTCCCAGGCTGGCGCGGTGGCGCAAGGCCTGGCATGCCAACAATGAGGCATCGGAGACAGGAGGACAGCCTGAACTATAGAGTGAGACTATTTCAAAAACAAGATTCCCAATTGGGCAGTTTATTGGCTGTGCGACTCCAGCGCAAGCCCCTCTGCACCACTCCCAGCCTTCGGTTTTCCTCTCTGTGAAATGGGACGAGGTAACACTTTTACAGCTAATTCCAAAAGCGTCCCAAGTGTTAGGACTCGGTTCAACCTCTCCAGCCAGGCACTCAACGGGCAGCTTTTCTTATTGTAATGGTTCTGCTTTAAAACAAAACAAAATCAGAAAGAAAGCTTTCACCCAGTCAAAACTTTCTCTGGCCTCCCTCGCACTGGATTGCAAATTCTCTTTTTTAAAGATGAAAAAAAGCTAGACCTCAGAACTCCGCTGGAACACATTCCTGTCACCTTCAGGGTCTCTGGCTCAGAGAGGATGGAGGTCAGGCGCTTCCACAAATTTGTGACTATTTTGGATTTGTTTGGAAAGAATCCTGATGTGTGAATGAACAGAGGCAGAAACTGACACCCTCCCAGGATGTCAGTTGCCTCAGGTCCTACCAATATGGGTGGTGGACAATCAGATCTCTGTACGTATGTCTCTCTTGAGCCACACCCTCTTCTGTGGGTGTCCTGCCAGACCCCCACCAAAATATGAACCCCACTTTATGTTAGAAGCCAAAATGGATTGAAGACAAAAAGACCCCCCCCATTTTATTTCACCCCAAACCAGGGTCCCCCCCCCCCTTGAGACCGTCTTTCTAAATAAATGCTGCTTGCTCTTTAAACAGAAAACTGACTCAAGATTCAAACCACTTTCTCTGCCCCTACCCCTGCCTCCCCAAAGCAGATGCCCCAAGGGCCTCCTCCCCCAGGTCAGCTGAGGCTTTTCTTCTACCACCTTTCCTATACCAACCAGGTGGCTGAGAATCTCTGGGCTACTCCCTACCCAACACATTTTCACCCAGAATTCAGTTGGAGGTTGATCAGCAGCAGCTGGATGCTGTTGATTGGAAAGAGGGAGGACAGAAGGGAGGAGGGAATAAAGGACAGACAGACAAGTGCTTCACGTGCTTTGTATGACTGCCCTTGCCAGGAGGACACACACACACACACACACACACACACACACACATGCACACACACCAAATGGGATTGTGGAGTTCTCCCATGCTACCCCCACTTTCATCATGCTTGTTTGCAGGTTCTAGAAGGGCTTGCATCTTTTAAAGGGACTCTACTGGCTCAGGATCTTCCCCGACTTCCAAGGCCACAGGGCCAGGTCTGAAGTCTACTCATCACAGAGGTGGCCAGGCTTACCTTTCAGGTTGGATGTCCCCACAGTGGACACAGCCGGAGAGGAGGCTTGGGCGAAGCAGTTGAAGGCTGCCTGCTCGCTGGAGGACTCGTCTGAAGTCCCGGTTTCCTTCTTGTGTCTCTCATCGAACACCCTCATAGACTGCAGGGTGAGCTGCTTTCTGAGATAGAGGCCCACACCCATCGTTAGAGACTGCCACACACACTTCCCTTCTTTGTCTTCTTCCCCCCACTTTCCCGAGTGGCATACACCTCACCCCGCTACCCAACATTTAGTCTGTGCAATGTACTGGCTCAGGGTGACCACACAACACAGACCCCAGCATTGTTTAGCTGGGAGGAGGCCTATGCTTTAGGAAAGAACTTGGCCTGGGAAATCTTGTTTAAAACCTCAGGACAGAGGCTAGAGTTGGCCAGGACAGGTACACTACTGGCCTTCCAGAGGGAGGGTGCTGTGAAGACCCAGTCCAAAGTCCTGCATGGGCACCAAGATGGGCAAGAACCATTCATTATGTGGTACATCTGACAATAGCCAGTTCACCAACACATTAATTGGAGTTTAAGTTTATTTCAAGGTTAGAAATTATTTTTAATGCTCAGCCAAGGTAAGAAACTTTAAAAAAATTGATAGATGATTTTTCTGGATTTTAGAAAAATTTTTGAAAAGGGGTGAGGGGTGCACAGCTTTTTCTATGGTCTATTTAAAGCAAAATTTGATGCAGACCCAGAAAGGAAAGAGGGAGAAAAGGTTCCCTGGATTTCTCAAGGGGCCTCAGCTTCAGCCTGGTGCTTTCTGAGAGGCGAGGTTGCAGAAGAACGTGTGGATGGCTTGGGTCTTTTCTTGGGTCTTGCTCAGGACAAATGCCAATTAACTAACAAATAATAGGCATCCTTATAGCCTGTTACCCCTGAGACTATTTTCTGGCCAGAACTGCAGTATAGCCTTTAACTTCCCTTAAAGACAACAAGTAGCAAAGGATGTTCTCTACTTGGACCACTATGGACCAGGGAAGAAGCTGACCCCCTCCCCTCCCCCACATCTTGCACCTCACTTCTAATAATTCCCAAGTTCAAGCCGAAGAAAACAATTTCCCAATTATCCCTGAAATTATAAGTCTCAGCTCACCGTTTTTCTCTCCTGCCGTTTCCAGTGTCCCGAAAACCTTTTGCAAAAGGGTTGTTGTCTATTTTTAACTGAGTTATCTAGAGAAAACACATAAGCAAAACAGACATTAGCTTTACTTTCCAGAAAGTTCTAAACATGCCCTCCCCCCAACTCCTCAGTCTTTCCTAGAGATGTGACTGCCCAAGGAGTCACAGGGATGGACCAAGGGGAAGTCAGAGGGAAGATGAGGGCGGGAAGATAGGAAGGAGCTGAAACATCATAAAAAATTGTAGTAATATTTAATGTTTCTGAGAACCAAGCAAGGATTCCACACTAAAATTATCCAAAAAAATTCCTTCTTTTGGACAATTTGATTTAGAAATGAGACTATTCCAATGTGGCCAAAAGTCACAGCCTATAGGTCTGAGTTAGTAGGCTTCTGTTCTGACTTTTTATACAGCACAATTAATTACAAAGCATGTTAAGATGCCATTTCCTGATATTCCCAACCACCATCACATATACATGTACACACAAACACACACCCTACACACGAAAACTTTTTCTGTGAATCTAATAAAATTAATTATGGGGTTTCACTACCACTACCTTCTACTAGAGTGACCTCCCCAACCCCCACCCCCACCACCCCAGGTAAGAGTGGATTTGAAGGAATTATATACCAAGGACTTTCAGGTTGAAAGGGAAAAAATAGCCACTGGTAATATTTGTTTTCATTTATGTTTACTTTTGGTGTGTTCCCCACACACCACCAAGGACCTGAGCCTCTGCTATGTTTAAAACCATTAGCCATTAAAGTAACAATGTATTTGATGTAACTTTCACAGGATTCCAGGTCTCAGGAGCCAGCTTGAGGTTCCTTGTCTTTAGAATCTCTTCTCCTGGTAGAGAAACTATGTATCCAGTTAACAGGAGCGAGAAACCTGGGCTTTGGTTTTGGGTTCTGCTATTTAAAGGAGGCCAGACATCCTTTGCATGAGGCAAGGAGAAGAGCGGGTGGTTACTTAACATCCACACTAGGAAATGGGAGGATCAGTGTCCACAGGGACCAGGGACTGACCATGAGTTCAAAGTACAAGGTGTTGCCAGGTGAAGTGAACTCACCACGAGGTCTGTGGCTCAGGTATTGGACCACAGGGGTCCTCAATCCCTGCCCACCCACCCGCAGTTGCCAAGCTCCATGCTGGTGGACCACCATCAATAGACACTCTTCTCTGGGCCTCTGTGTTCAGTTTCCCTGACCTTCAGGCCAGGAGCACAGCAGATTCCAGGTGAGGCCTCATTTGTGAGCCCTTTTTAACCCCCGGCTTCAGGCCCCAAAGGAGAACAAGTTTCAGATGAGCTAGTGGTTATGAGCTAGTGACGATTTCCACCTTTAAGTGGGAAGCCTCGGATAGCTCAATTAACAGAACCCTGTATTAGGGAGCATCTTTACACACCACTGCCACCACCTGCAGCAGCAGCATAAAAGTTAATGAAAACAAATCATGCATTCGGAATTTCTGGCTGAGAGGAGTGCCCATCTCTACTCATCCCCAGTTGAGACCCAAACACTTTGCACCTTAAATTAATTGCTCCCTTGCTACCTGGTTCCTTTCAGCACAGCACACTCTTTGTTTGTTTGTTTTGATCCTTCCTTCTGAAGAGGATGAAGTAGGAAACACCAAGAGACAAGACCCTGGGGCCAGGGCAGGGACTGGACTACCAGTTAAATACCAGCACCAGATTCCCAGCTGGAAGGAAAGATTTGGGCCAGCCTCCCTCCCACCCCCTCCAGGAATCGGACCTCTCCATAGAAGGTCAAATCACACAATTCACAAGGAAATTCCAGACTTTCTTCTGCCCAATGCCCTAATAACTTTCTCATCGAGAGCAAGTCAGCTTGGAGGAAGAGAGAAACGCCCTGTGGGTTACCTTGTCATTTTGGTAGGCAGTCACGGCAATGAATTCCGTTTCCGGGAACAGGTATGTGCGAAATGTACTGTACGGCAGTTTTAAGATATCATTGGCTCTGACGATGTGGAACCGGGGCTGGTACTTATGCATAGAGTTGAGTATGGTCTGTAGAAGCAGGGAGGGGGACACACACATTAAAAGAAAGAAAGAAGGAAGGAAAATAGTTTAACAGAACAAATGAGATCTTAGGTCCCCTGCCAAGCCGACATCGTCCCCACTGCTGGGTCCAAAGCCCACCACCTTGTACATTTCACGCCACAAGATTGTTATCTTCCAGAGACTTCCAAATTGTTCCTCAGTTTCTAAAGCGCCCCCCCCACCCTCTCCATCTACATATTCATTCGAACCTTGAACCCTAGCCTACCTGGGTCCCAAAACTATAATTCCCCTGCCACGTTGCGTGATCGCTTGGGAAGGCCAAAGTCTTAAAAGATAGAGAAAAACATGCATTTTAATTTACAAAATGATTCAGTACTTTAAGCGCCCACTAATTGACAAGCCCAATCCACTTAAGGCCTTGAGAGGCTGCGCTCTAGAGAGGAATATTTATGCCCTAATCAAATCAAGGGCTTCAAATGCAATCCCTGTCCGCTTTAGATATTTCCGAGCCATTCACGTCTTCCTGGGCCTAATCTTTCTGCTTATTCCTCGCTTATCACTTTGTTTATCCTATTGAAATGCTGGGGAGGGGCAGAGGACAGCCAAAGGTCCCCTGGCCTGGCTTTCACAGGCAAGCCAAGTCTCCTGAAAGTCTCTAAAGCACACTCAGCCACGGAATCCACATGCATTCTCTAGTACGTGTACGTACACACACACACACACACACACACACACACACACACACCATTTTTCTTTAACACCAAAGACTTCAGCTTGTTCCTAGTACACCTGACTTTCACCCAAGCCCAAATCACTTTTAGTAAAAAGAAAATACACTTTCAAAAATGTAGTCACAGCCTTGGTTGGCCCAACACAGCAAACGCTTCAGCTCTCCCAAGATATGGCGTGGCTGATTTCAAAGAAGTAACATAATATTTCTAAGCAAAACGGACCTTATCCAAGTACAAAACTTTAATAAAAATCGATTCATAACTTTTTGTTCTTAGTATCACTCTTCACGCCCAGGTCTGGCACCCACCCTGGACCTTCGATTGCTATTTCGGTAAATTCTTCTTAGAGAACCGGTAGGCCTTCCATTATCCAGGTAGCTAGACCCCCCCCCCCCCCAGTTCCACTCTGCAACTAGGTTGCAAATTGAACAAAGTTGGCTGTGTATGGCAACCATCAGTCAGACTGGTGTCCGGACCCAGATTCAGTTTCCTAGGAGGCCGGCCATACCTCCCAGGGAATCTTACAGAGAGTCAACGAAACTTACAAATCCGTGTTTGTCCGAAATGTTGTTGGTGAGTTTCAGTTTGTGGAAAGTGACGACTTTGGACATCCACTGCTCCCCTGTAGCGGGGCTGTCCGGGTGTATGTACATTCTCTTTGGCATTTCGGGGTCTGCCTTACCGGCCACCATCCACCGAGAATTGTGAAATTTGTATCGACAGTCATCAGCAGCTATAATGTCCATCAATAAAATATACTTGGCCTTTTTATCCAGCCCAGAGCACCTCACTTTAAATGGAGGGAACATTCGCCTACAAGAGCAAAGCACAGACAAGGGAAATAGATGAAAAGTTGGGGTAAATGGCTCAGGCCCTCGGACTTGTCTTCCAAGTTGTCTGGCCCCATCTAAAAGCACAAGGCTTACTGCTGGGACCAGGGAGTCTGCAGGGCAACTTCCACACTGACATTAAAAATGCTTCATTTCCCATTATTTTCCTATCCCAAGCCTCAAATCAAATTAATTACAACAACCTCTGTCTTAAAGTACCGACTATTTTGTAAAAAATGAAAACAAAAACACGTTTGTCTGCGTAACTGTTTAGATTGCCCTTTACAGAGACGAATGAATTCTTGCCTAAGATTTTTCTTTCTTTCTTTTTTTTTTTATTTTTTGAGTTTGAAACAGCTAGAGATAGGGTACTAAGAAACAGTGGTTAATAAAGTTTAGGATATTCCACCCTCCCATGAGAAAACATCAAAGCTTATCGAGGAAATAAATGCCCCGTTATGGACTGAAGTGGTGAGCCAGAGGGAGGCTGGCGAAGTATTACACTGGATTCTCAGTACGGAGGTTGGAGACCGGCACCCGGGCCTGGTAACCCATTCGTGATTTAAGCTATAAACCGCATTCCTCTACTCTGTAGGCCACGGCAAGATCCTGCTGTTTAATTTCACAGAAGTGCTGACTTTCCTAGCTTTTGACTTAAAAGGAAGTACTCAGTTATGAAAACTGACTAAATGTCTTGTGGGTTGGAGAAAGATCTGATGCCAAACTTTGGCCTCAAGTAGTTTGAAGGGAGACCTGTAAGTGGGGGTTTTATTTTTGTGCCCTTTCAACCGGTGTCCTGAAAAACCTACAGACATTTTCTTTCTTTCTTTCTTTCTTTAAATTAAATCAGTGTGGTTTTAAATGCTTTTCCTGGGGTCCTTTCTTACAAGCTTGTTTTGGTCAGGCAAGGACACTAAACGTTATGTAAAGTATTAATATTCAAACACAAAAGCAGGAAAGATATGCTCATGGGTTCCTTGGATCCACATAACCTTAATTAATAAGAGAGCCTGCTCGGTTCTCCCTGGGCTTGCAGGAAAGCGAATCGGGAAAAGAAATCCTTCCCTCCTTCACCCTTCCCTTGATTTCACTCTGTCCCAGATCAGTCAGGTTTAGGCCCCCTTCAGCTCCGGAGACTAAGCTAATGGGCAGGAAGGGCCTGAGAAACCTCACGGGTCTCCCACTACCGTAGAGAAAGGGCTCTAAGTGTCTGTACTGGGAAATAAAACCAAACAGACAAAATCAAACAGATAGAAAGATATTTCAGAATGTCTTTACAGACGGACTTTCCGCAACAGGGCGCTTTTCTCGATTGCTGCAGAAGTCAGTCAGTGAGCGACTCCTTCAATGGAAAATACCCTCTGTTCTGTAGGTCCCCAAGAACCCTGCAGTGGGCCCAGGTAGCCTGAAATTTTCTGACCCTCGGGCAGGGCCCAGGAGTCTCTACATTTTTGGGTGGTGGTGTGTGTGTCGGGAGAGTTTTCGTCCCAAACGTAACAATCAGGCAGCAGTAAATCTACCGTTTTAATAGAGAGACAAAAGGAGACACGAAAAACTTCAGGTGGTTTGGGGAGGGGGTTACCACTGATTTCTTACCTTCCCGACTTTGTAATGACCATCTCTGTACCCCGCTTGTGAAACTGGTCCCAAAGTTCCTTGGCCTCCAGGTGCACCTTGGGGTCGTCTTCCACGTCCTCTTCGGGCTCCATGGTCTTCAGAGGCCTCAGGTGAGCCTGGGGTCCCAAGGATGAGAAGGGAATGCCGGTCTCAGCGGCCCCCACCAACTGATCCATGATGGGCTTGGCCAGGGCTCCGGGCAGGGAGAGCGCCGCGGCGCCGTTGGGAGGCAGCGTTAGCGCGGGGAAGAAAGGCGGCTGGTGGCCCAGTACCGCGCTCATGGCGAAGTCTGGCGCCCGGTGAGGTAGGAACGGATGATAGGCCATGCTTGTCCCAGGGATAACCGGATCTCTCATGGAGAGGCTCATCCACTCCAGATAGGGAACCAGTCCGCAGCTGCTGGCTTGGCTCTGCTTTTGTTTTTGCTTTTCAAAAACAATAAAAAAAATTCAATAGCAACGCATAGTTTTGCTTTAAAATAAAAAGAGGAACCAATTACAATTAAAGCCTTTGAAAGGGAAGGGGAAAGTATCTTTGAGGGAAGAGAATGCGGCTTTTAAAGAGGGCACGGCGACAGATCGGGAGACATAGCCGCTGCAGGGGCTGTCCTGGTGCGTGGAGTATGTTTGAAAAGCCGCTCCTGGATGTCGGTTTCAGTAGGGCGAGCCACAAGCAGGGGCTCGACTGGCGCCCGAGCCCTGTGGCTTAGCTGGAAATAGACGCACAGCCTTTTCCCGGGGTGGCTCCCCGGCTCCCACGCTCTTTGTTGCCAAAGCGCAAGGTTCTCCGAGACTTTTTTTTTTTTTAACCTTTTTTCGTCTCCTTCCCCCGCCCCCTAGCTCTTCTCTGGCTTTCTCGCAGGAGACGTCTTAGATGAGCTAGAAAGATTCTTGCTTTCACTGGGAGCGAGATCAAGCGGGGGGGAGGAAAAAGTCTCTCCTTAAAAAAAAACTGATTTAAGCCCCTTTCCAGCGACGTTATCAAAACTCGTAGCTGCAAAGCTGGCTTCGGTTCGCGCTTCTACTCTTCTCTCTGACTCCGAGCTGCGCGCAGTGTCTGGGTGGCGATCCAAATGGTGCCTGCGATCTTCTACCTCGGGGACTCGGCTGTCTTCCTTGTGCTAAAAAAACGTGAGCGAAATCGCTTTCCTAAAAATAATAAATTAGAAAAAAATCAGCGTCCGGGAGCGCAGGGCGAGGGAGGATCGAGAAAACGGGTGAAAAAAAAACAGGAAAGGAGGAAGAGACGGGAGTGATTGGGAGCTGGAGTAGGCGAGTAGAGGGAGGGAGAGAGAAAGAGAGCGAGCGAGCACCTCGCCACCCTCCTCCGCCTCTAGAATTCCCCGGGCGTCTGCTCGGCGGCTCTGGACGGTCGAGCTGCGCTGTGGGCTGCGGGAGCCCGAGGCTTGTTGATTGGCTCTTTGACGCTTTCGGACCAATTGTGTGGCTGCATAGGCGTGGTTTTCACAGGTCGAGTGCTGGGGGAATAGAGCCGAGTTATAAAAAGAAGGTGTCGGAAACTGGAACGTCGCTGCGCCGCGCGGTACTACGGCCTGTCCTGCGTTTATGTCAACATGATCAGAGGGGAGGGCGGGGAGCCACCAGGGCGCCGCGCGCACACCAAAGTCGCCTCTAGGTGGCTGATCCAGAAGAGAGTTCGCTGCAGCCAGAGGAGCTCGCCCGGGCTCTTTCTCAGCTCAGCCCACGTCTGAAAGGCCTCAGCCATCCAACCCCCGGGGAACCGTGGAGGAGGCAGGGCCAGGGAGGAAGTGGGAGGGAGCGAGGGCGGGAGCCAGGCAGCCTGCCCCGCAACCGTGGCGCCGGGCAGGGGCGCTCGCCTCTCGCACGCTCCGAGCGCAGCAGCTTAAGCTTTCGGCTGCTTCTCTGTGCGGATCCGCAGCTTCTTCGCTTCGCCGGGCCTCGGGCTAGCCAAGTCAGCTGCCGAGCCTCCCATTCGGCCAATGCGCGTGAACAAAAGCTCCAGGCTCGCGCACAACTCTGCTGCCCCACGTGGAGACGCCCAGCCGCCTCTAAGTCAAGTCCTTTAGCTCGTGCGCCTGGGTGCTCCGGCTTTCCGAGTCACCGGCGCAGGGAATCCCACAAATCTTTCTCTCTCCCCGGTGCGTGCTCCCCACCCGCAGTCACGTGTAGAGACCCAAACGCCCCCTGGGTATCTGTACCCGAACGCGCGCCAGCGCCAACACTCTGGGCCCGAGCCCCAAGCGGAAAAACACACGCAAACACGTACAAGGCTCTTGCGCCCGGCCCAATCTAAACTTGCTCTGCGAAACGGACTCGGTTTTGTTTGTTTGTTTTAATGTATTTACTGACCCTTTTGAGCCCAGTTCCTCTTCCATTCGGATACGGATACCGGTGTTCCACCCGGATGGGGTTGTGGGTGTAGAGAGAACGAAGCCGCTGAAACAAGTGAGTGCAGTGATTGTGGGCCTTTCTCCTTCAAGCCTCTGCCCACACCTCCCGGCCAGCTCGGCGGGGAGTCGCCGACGGGACTGGAAGAGTTGGTTGGGGGAGGTGCACGAACCTGGTATCTTACCCAGGCATCGCTCTTATCTCCTGGTGCCTCAGTTCCTTCTCCACCGGGAGGGGGGGTGGTGGTGATGTTACTTATCTTGGCAGAAGTCGGGGGGTGAATTTGTAAAACAAACCGTGAAACGCACCCCTCTACCCCAGAGGTCAGGAGACTCAGTCCCTAATCAACCCACGGTGGGGAGGAAGGCAAACTGACTGATGAGACTTTGATCTGGTAGCCCAGTTACTGCAGCCCATGCTGGGGTCAGAGGACTACCCCCCAAACCCACAGTTCTTGTTTGAGGGTGGAGGAGCTGGGGCATCACAGTTTAAGTGGAGGGCAATCTCAGCAGAGTTTTTCGTTTTCCGGGAACAAGACAAGACCTTCTTTGCTTGGAGAGGGAACAGAAAAAGGGCTGGTTTCTGGGCCTAGAGATTAAGCTTGGAGTATTTTCGTGTGGACCATTTGCCTCTAGATTTCTCCCTTGAGGACCCCCACCCCCAGCATCCCCTCTTCAACTGCAGGTCCGAACTGGCAACTACTGGGTGAACAGGCAGTACCCTCTCCCCTGGTTTTGATGTACAAGGTGAAGAGCTTTCGGCGCCAGCCCCGAGCTTTTCTTCTGCGGCCAATGAGAATAGAGTTGTTCTGTGAACTTGGTCTGACTTGCCATCTCGCCCCCTTTCTTTCCCGTATGTCCACAGTGGAGAGGGAAGGAAAAGGGAGAGAAACGAAAGAGAAGGAGATGCGTAAGGCGGTGGCTCGAAACGCCCCTTCCCGGGCTCCCTGTTCCAGATCACCGAGGGTGAGAGAGGCCGAGCCAGGCCCCTCTCCGCACGGGCCACCGAGGTCACTGCTGATTCTCTGCAGCAGAAGAGTCCCCTCCCCCCTCCGTGCCTAGCCACTTTAGCCAGACCAGCCCCTAGAACCCAAAGATCCTCTCTGCCTGCATTGGAGAGTTAATCTCTGTGCGCCCGCGTGGAGTGCAGAAAAATAGTTGTGCAACTGCGGAGTATTTAAAACCCCCCGTCACCCACGCGGTGTCCTAAGGATCCACGGGCTAGCCTGAGAGACCTTGGCAACGGATACCCAGCCTTCTGGCCTCGGGGGTCTGCTCTGCAAATGCCAGGCGAGCTCGCTGACTTTGCATGCAAATATCTGGCCTTGTTTTTTGGCTCCGGCGTGAACTGAGAGCAATTTCTGACCCTCACGTCACCCCCACACAAACACCCTTTAGTCGCCTATTTTTGACTGTAGCTCTAGCTTAACCCTGGGGTCACCCCAGTTTGCCACTTCTGGCTTCCACCCACCACCCCAGTGCGCCAGGGAGAGCGGGGGAGGAGGGTGTGGAGGAAAGTTTGCGGGATTTTGAATCGAAAATGTCTACATGTTGCTAATGGTCTACAAACTTCCGCCAATTACGGCTGACCTCCCAGACGCTGCCCCTGGAGGTTCGTGTTCTGGAAGGGAGGCCGCGGCGACGCAAGGATCAAAAGCGGGAAGGTGCGAACTCCTCTCCGTCTTTGCGTGCCCGCCGCGCCCCCCTCCTAGTGGGTGATAAACCCACTCTGGCGCCGACCGTGCACTGGGTGATTAATTTGCGAACAAACAAAAGGGGCCTGGTGGCCACTGCATTAGGGTTAAACATTGGCCAGCGCCTTCCTCAGGCTTATGACAGGCCTGGCCTCCCGGAGAAGCCACAAGGTTAGCAGGTCTCGAGCCTCTTCTTAAGCCTCCAGCTGCTGACCATCGGTGCCGGCTTGTTCTCTTTCTAGACTCCTTGATTGAATTTAGCGAGTCTTTCCAACAGAGTTGGGTGAGAAGTTGAAATTCGGTGTCCACAGAAGAAATGTCCCCCTACCTTTTGCAATAGGAGGATTTGTGTGTGTGTGTGTGTGTCCTTTGCACTATAGGGACTGGGGTTTTGAACAAGATAAAAACATGCAGCGCCTGCAGCTTCTGAAGCGAAAGATATGGGACTTCAAAGTGGGAGGGGGTGAGACAGGGATCTCAGGCCTCAGCCAGCAGTCCCAGCAGGCATCAGCAAGCCTGAGAAATGGGAAGGCATCCCTGCAATATTCTGTTTTCCCAGTGGCACCTCCTGCCTCACACTTGAAAGGAGATACACTGATCCTTTGTGACCGAATGGTGTCTATCTGAAATTAGAAAGGAAAGAAGGAAGGAAGGAAGGAAGGAAGGAAGGAAGGAAGGAAGGAAGGAAGGAGCAGAAAGAGAAAGGACAGGGTGTGGACAGGGTGGTTGGCTTCGGGAACTGTTGCTTGCGTGAGGTCTGGCGCGGGACTCTGTGAAAGACACTGTTAAACTCTTCCGCCCTCCTAAACATTCGCCCCCAGTTCACCCTACAGCTTTATTCAGTCCGAGGTGTCGCTATATTGGACGTCTTGTTGACAGGAGGGCATGACGTTTCTCCTGAGGGTCTGAGGCCTGGTTATGAAATTGGGAGAAGTCGAGATAATAACTTTACTGGGAAGGAGTTCTTTGTAGTCTGGCAGGGTGGAAATGGCTCTTTGAGGCCTGATGCCCTGCCTGATTTCATCCTGGAATCTCAGCTCCTTTGACACAGAGGCACTTTCAAACTGCCTAGAGCTGTCTCCTTTTGTGAGGCAGAGTTTGGGGAGAGTTTTCTTATAGGAAGGTCCAGTCTGGCCCCTTTGAACCCCTTGACAACCTTAACCCTTCAGGTCCTTTCCCCACCAGCACTCCTACACACTCAGTGGTACACCTTCCATCTTAGAAGAAGCCTGAATTCTGGGTCTTCCTTACCTCCCCAAAACTTGCTGGAAGAGCTTGGGTCCCTCTGGACTGGGGGCTTGCGGCTCTCCTTCGTGGCTTTTACTTTTTAATTTGCTATCTTGTCTACTATTTCTTCCTCCCTATTTTCCCTGGCTATCTTGGCTCTCTCTAAATTCCTTCCTGTCATTCTAACTCACCCCCTCCTCTTTTTCCAGTTACATTGACAGACTAGAGGTACCTCTTCCCTGGGGTCCTAACAAACACCCTAGCCTCCTTGCTTCGACTGGGAGAGATAAAAACACTTTGACTTGGTCCATTTGTCTGCACATTTTTCCTTCTTTTCTTAACTTTTCAAAAGCCACCTTGTTCGTGATTTGGCCAGTGTCCCTGACTTCTATGTCCTGGAATCCCCTTCCCATTCTGGGGCAAGAGTCCAAGGTGAGGGGTGCAGAGCAGTCTCCAAAGCCCAGTTCCTAGGTTCTGCCTTTCTCCACCAGGACATCTCTTTCCTGTAAGACATTTTTCTCTGTCTTCTGACTTCCTTTTAAATTATTGATCAGGGCGACCAGTACAGGAGTCTGAGGCAGAGGGTGAGATGGACAATGGTGAGCACTCTCTAGGCTTGCATGGGTGGGTGTCAGCTGGTTTGTGCAGTTTCTCGGGTGCCATTTTTTTGTGTGTACAGTGCTTATCATACCCCCCTTAATGTAGATATGGCAGAGGGGAAATGAACGGATTTTACCCTCCACACTATTCTTATTAACATCCACTTCTTATCAAAGAGGATCACCTCCAAAAAATGGCAAATTTAGATACAGCTAATAATGCAGCTAAGTTAAAGTGGAGACAGCAAGGAGGGAGAAATCCAGGTAGCTGGAGAGGGTGATGCTTTTTATACATCTTCAGTGCCCCCTTGAGAAAAGGACTAATTGTGGCTTTCTAATTTCAGACCCACCAGCATCTTCTAGATGTGTGTGTCTGTGTGTGTGTTACCTAATTTTTTAAAAAAGATAGCACAATGGCTATTACTCACTCTAGCAGAAATGAATTCACCAGGAAAAAGCTTGGAATTTCTTCTCTCTCTCTCTTTCTCTCTCTCTCTCTCTCTCTCTCTCTCTCTCTCTCTCTCTCTCTCATTAAATTTGACCTAGAATCTACAAGATACAGGCCAACATTTTGACCACCCCACACCCCTCTTTCTTCAATACCATCTTTCCAGATTAGGATGTAAACAGATCCTCAGTGATCCATGCCGGGATTGTGTGTGTGTGTGTGTGACCTTTTAAGAGAATGAAAGGAAAAACAACACATGCTCCAGCCTTCACCTGGACGGTGGCATTCAGGAGAGCTCACTTTTCCTCACTTCTTCTGGTGTTGCTTCTGCCATTAAATGCCAGGGTTATGGAGGTCTTGGACTCTTACCCCCTGGGAACAGATGGGGCAGAGGGGACAAGAGAAGACTGTAAGGGAGAGAGCATGGCAAATTCAGTGGCTGCTACTGTCGGCAAGGTTGACAGGCCAGAGAAAGATGGGTGCCTCCAAATCTGCTGAACTAACTGTCCCCTGGTTGCCCAGGACACGTTTTCTTAATCTGAACACAATATCCATTACTGCGCCTCCCCCTTTACTGGGTTTCAATTATACTGGGACAGAGCCCAGAGTTCAGGGTGCCCGGTGCTGCTTCATCCATCTCTAAACAAGAGAAACAAATGAAAGCAGCCGAGGACAGACATTGTCCTTGTGTTTTTGAGGGTTCTCTCCTCCTTGTAGCATTCCTTTTGCTCTTTGCCAGACACCCAGCTTGCCCATGGACCCACAAGTAAGGTGGTTAGTGTGACCAAAGAGGGAGAGCCTGTGGCACCAGGAAAACCCCCAAAGATGTCCTAGGGTAATCACAGTTTCAGAGATGAGGTGGGCATTCATCTGAAGAGCCATCTGGTTTTTCTCCCCTTGCATTTTCCTGTAAAAATTAAGATGATGATGGTCTTTCCCAAAGTTATCGTTTTGTAGTCCTGAGGCAAATAGTTGTGGGCTCTGGTTCGCTGATAGGCTTGGCAGGTAGGGGGCTGGACAAATGGCTGCCGGCTCTTAGATTCAAGATCCTCTTCCAGATCTGCATTTTTCAGAAACAGTCTCCCAAAGT